ATTCAGCATTAATAACGCCCGCAATCCACTCAGCACCCTTCCGCTTGGAGAAGCAGGAGTTAATACCAGCACGGCAAAATTCACGCACGGCAGTCCTGCTGGGGCCAAAGTGTCTGAAGGAGTGGCATGGCAACGCCCATACATTCACCCAGTGCACCCAGCATGCTGTGAGACAGTGTGAGAGGAGAAAGATGCAGACTGCATTACAGAAGTACCCACAAGTTTTCTGGGCAGAATGATCTGGAGCTCCAGATGTCTGGAGCTGGAGATACAGAGTGGGGTAGAGTACTGGGACTGTTATTCCCCCGCACTGACGGCAGACCCTTGCAGTGGAGGATGGCTACCTGCTGTCACGTATCATCCACCTGGAGATGCTGCTGAGGGGCCAGTGCCCACAAATGCTGCCCAGATGGAATCATCAGAAGTCCCAGAGACGCCGGCTGTGCAAGTCCACCTTGTCACCCCTGCTTGAAAGGAACCGGATCCAGATGACTCTGCTCTGATGAGCCAGTGGGAAGTGACAGGGGTAATAATATGAGGTCAAACAGTACTTTAGTTAGGATCCCCGACTTCAGACCTTTGTTCCTGGACAAATGGACCGTATCCTATTGTCCATACATGGGGCCATGTGCTTTTGACCTAGCGGCAGATGCAGGATTCCAGCGCAATGTGTTTTCTTCTTTCTTATGTACTAGGCCAGACTCCAGTCCTTTCATTTCTCAGATGCTGGTCTGGGGAAGCTGAAGGGTGACCGCCTGGCCTCGTTGTCCTACCAGGAGGGGCTCTTCCTTAAGTTTCTTGCTAATTGAATTGTCATTATATAGTAAATTAACTTCTTAGTTAGCCAGTTAGAGGTAGGAATGTGATTTTCCTGTGTTTTGTTCCTTTCTTCCACTGTGCTGCAGGTATCCACAGATGGCTGTCTCCTCCTGTGCAAGAACAAGAAGAAACATTGTTGCTGATGAAGGGCTTCTTTCTAGGAGGAGGTGCTTCATCTCCATTTAAGTGCACCTGTAAATATGTTTGTGGTGTTTTTGTTCACTTTCCTGCTGTTAGCTTTCGACAGCTCTATGTAAATATGTATATTACACATTTTTTAAAATATTTTTCTACCTGTATTTTTTTGCACATATCCCCTTCCAAATTTGTTCCCTTTTCCCCTTCCATGTTTTTGTATGGGATGCCCTGCTCAGGGGCTCAGGAGCCATTTTTGTTTTTTTGTCCCCGAGCCCATGAGGACATGGCTGTTTCTCTAGCGGGGGGTGAATGTAGCACCCTCCTAGGCAGCTAGGGGGAGTTAGAGTTCTAATTATCAGTTAGAAGGGCTGAGTGGCAGCCCAGGTGTAATAGTCAGAGGGGTAAAATTTCGGTCAGGAGCTGAGAGGCTCTACAGATCAGCTCTCTGGGATTTCCCCCTGCACTAGAGCTTTGGAAAATGTTCTAGAATAAGTGGGAGGGAGTGAGGATTGGCTGGTTTGCACTCTCAAGGGATCCTGGTCAATCCCGAACAGGAGGCTTGGCTTGGGGCCAGGACAGCACTTAAGAGTGACTGAGCATGCTCATCTGGAGTAGGTCAGTGTCGGGTGGAACATAGAGAAATGAGGTTGGAGAGCAGGAGCCTGGGAAGGACGCTTGAAAGGAGGAAAACTCAGCACCTCATTGGTGCCCCCAGAGAGAGGACCACCTGTGCAGCAGGGAAGGAGCGGCTCAACTAGAAGGCCTGTTAGCAGCCACCAACCCATCTGCTCACAGATGGAGGACTGAGCGAGTAAACCTACACCCCCAGGGCCAGTAAGGGGAAGGAGCACATCAGTGGGAAACTGGATTAGCTGCCTACCTAGGACTGTCTTACATTTTCAGTGACAGGCACTGGATCCCCTGTCCAGGGATTCCTTCAGGCAGCCGGATTAGGAGAGCCTGGAGTGGTACTACCGGAGATGCTGGCTAGCTCTCCAGAAGAGAAATCTTGCTATAAAGACTTGTAAATAGTTCCAGGATGTTGTCCTCAGTTGTTATACCCTTGGGCTTCCTGTACACACCTAGTCCCTATCCAAGTTTTAATTCCCTTAATAAAATTACAAAAAAAAAAGCTCAACTGGTAACTGTCTCCTAGATGCAAGTCTGTGTGGAAAATGCGTGTTGCCTGGCTGTGCAAGACTATAGGGGGACCCAAATATTCAGTGACTCCTAAAGGAGTAGTGCTACCTATTTTCAGACCACTCTGGTCCTGGTTGGTGCCTTGATCTGACTCCCCCTCTGTCAGCCAGCATGGCTTCAGGGGAAGGAAGAGAGCATAGACCCCATTTGTACTATTTTGCATATTGGTTTCAAACAAATCAGAGCAGCTGCCATTGTTGCTTTTTTGGATTTGGTGCGGACACACTCTGGAAGGCTTCACCTACCTTGCAAAGGCATTGTCTTGGCTTCTGTTGTGGTGCTTCAACTTTGAGGAGGAACAGACTGCTTCCAGGTGAGGCTGCTCTCTTTTTTTCTTAAAGGACTAGTAATCTGCAATATATAACATTTTTGCTTTTTAGTTAGCCATTCTATGCAGTATTCCACTAGGAGCCCAGGCTGTATGATGACGTACCTCTCTTAGGCTAACAGGAAGAAGGTTGAAGAGGAAGACTGGTAAGGAAGCTGAAGGTAGGGTAATTATCATTTGAAAACTTTTTTGTTTAATAGTTGATGCAAGCAATGTATTTTAAACAAACAAGTTTTATTAAAAACTGTAAGTGGATATACACTCCCCCGCTGCTAACCTTAGTACACCCGCATATTTGCAATAAATCTTATAAGATTGCGGAATAGAATTACTGCATATACTCCTTAAAGTGGAACTTCACTGCATCTGAGTACCACAAACCAAAAATGCTTTTTGATCATTGTTAATATTCAAAGCAAACTCACCCATCTATCCATTTCTTCATAATTTATTTTGCTGAGAATTCATTTTGAAAAACACAACCTGGTATTTCTGGCAATGGTCATCTTGAGTAAGGGCAGATGATTCATGTAGCATGTACTTCCTGGAATCTATCTGCCCTTGGCTCAAGCATTGGAAGAGCTGAGAACCCTCCCTTCCCTTCCTGAAGACTCCTGGGATATATGACATCATTTGCCTAGGCTTGGAAACCAAAAAGTAACTGAAGAAATGTAAAAAAAAAAGTAAATATGATCTACTTTCATATCTATTTACTAATGGTAGCAGCATAAGAATTACATTACAAACAGTCGATGTTGATACAAATAAAAACTGTACAAAATAGATAACTTAACAGTATATACATGCTATCAGTAACCTTTATTTTTACACCAAGCAGCTTGTAGATATAAAAATAAATATAAATTACTTTAGTCCCAAGGTCACATATAATATGCCAGGTCTGGGAGACTCACCCATTCCAATGTAACAGGATGCTTTTGCCCAATTTGCAAAACAACCAGTTTGTCTAGAGGGTGCACCAGTCCAAGTCGGTCAATATGGATGTTCTGACTTCTCTGTGGAAGTCAGTAAATGTAGAACTATTCTGCTGCTCCAGATTACAAAAGGTAAAGACTTTGGCAAAAAAGGAAATTCCATCCCATGATGGGCTTTCACAAAGTCGTTAATGTACTGCTGCAACCAAGCCAGATGAGTAAGGAGCTTCCCCCAAGCAGCTTGGGGATGGAGATAAGCATCTGGCACCCTACAGTAGTTCCAAGTAGCATACCGGCATTCCTCCACTGACAGATAGCGTTCTGTCTCCTTGTTTGGTATAGGTGTCCCAGATTAACCATGGGGCGCCTTGTCAGGTATCTCCAATGCATCTCAACCTGCAACAGCCAGAACAAGCAAGGACACTGGAACCGTAGGTGTTGGACTGGATAGAGGCTGCTTTGCCAAAGGATCCTCCTTAATAGGGAACACGGCTGTCACCACTCTGACTTCTCCACTTTGAATGTATTCTGGACTTGTGTTGAATTGATCCAAGAGGCATTCTAAATTGATTAAGCCTTTGGTCACTCAAAGAACAACAGATTTTTCAAATGAAGCACTTCCAGCATCGCATCCCCCGGCAAGCATGGGGGAAAGGGAATGCAGCCACGCCAATATGCTCGGATTGGGCCAGGGGAACATGCTCATGCTCTGACACCATTTGTGGCACTGAGTCCTTTAATTCAGATTGTCAGGACTTGCTGAGAACATGTTTAGCTAGTCCATCAAGATCAACATCTTTGGGCTTCTCTGACTACACCATCCCTTTGAAGAGATACAGGTTGCAGGTGGCACAATGCACCCAAAGAGAGAAGGCTGTAGATAGAAGCCTGCATAAAACACAGATGTTCTGCAGTGTATCTCTATCCCTAATGCGACAATACCCCAGTCTTCCTCTGGGGCCATTTGGGTGACATTTCACTTCCAGGCCTGAGGCCACAATGACCTTACAGCATCACACCCTTGCGGAAGAGCCACATCTTCTGCTTCATTTTCTCAGCTAGTGACATGGTCTATTTCTGCCTGTCCCATATGACTCAGAAGCATTTTGAGCAAGTAATATTAAGCATGTACTTAACTCTAGCAGCTTGTCTGACATGTTCACTCTGTACCATGAGTATGTTCTACCTTTGGGCATACAGGAAAGCCATCATACTTCACCCTCACAAGCCCTCCATGCTCGGTCCCTAGGGAGACCCTGTGAGGCAGTGGCCTCCAATATGGAGACCTTACCACAAAGGGGGAAACGTGAAATACTAACTGTTCCCTTACTACCAGGACCCCCATCATCTGCCACTGTCACCGCTTCCACTGTTGGCTGCTCTTCCTTCTGTTACACGTTTACACACAGACTTGTTCATCATCTCAAGGGTTAACTAAGACATTACGGTTACCGTAAAACCCTCTCTTTATCCTAAACCAGAGGGTTAAATATACACTATAATGCCAAACGTATTGGGACACCCCTCCAAATTATTGGATTCAGGTGTTTCAATCGCCTCCATGTCCACAGGTGTATAAAATCAAGAACCTAGGCATGCAGCTTGTTTCTACAAACATTTGTGAAAGAATGGGTTGCTCTCAGGAGCTCAGTGAATTCAAGTCTGGCACCTTGATAGTTTGCCACTTGTGCAATAAGTCCATCTGTGAAAATTCTTTGCTACTAAATATTCCACGATCTATTGTTAGTGGTATTAAACAAAGTGGAAGCAACTGGGATCAACAGCAACTCAGCCACGAAGTGGTAGGTCACATAAAATGACAGAGTGGGGTCAGCGCATGCTGAAGCGCACAGTGCACAGAAGTCGCCAACTGTCTGCAGAGTCAATAGCTAAAGACCTCCAAACTTCATGTGGCCTTCAGATTAGCATAACAACAATGCGTCGAGAGGTTCATGGAATGGGTTTCCATGGCCGAGCAGCTGCATCCAAGCCTTACATCTCCAAGTACAATGCAAAGCTTCAGATGCAGTGGTGTAAAGCTCACCACCACTCTAGAGCAGTAGAGACGTGTTCTCTGAAGTGATGAATCACGCTTCTCTGTCTGGCAATCCGATAGACGTGTCTGGGTTTGGCAGTTGCCAGGAGTTCTGTACTTGCCTGACTAAATTGTGCCAAGTGTAGATTTTAGTGGAGGGGGGATTATGGTGTGGTGTTGTTTTTCAAGGGTTGGGCTTAACCCCTTAGTTCCAGTGAAGGGAAGTCTTAAGGGATCAGCATACCAAGACATTTTGGACTATTTCATACTTCCAACTTTGTGAGAACAGGTTGGGGATAAAAACATGGATGAGCAAGTTTGGGGTGGAGGAACTTGACTGGACTGCACAGAATCCTGACCTCAACCCGATAGAACACCTTTGCAATGAATTAGAGTGGAGAACTGTGACCCAGGCCTTCTCGTCTGACATCAGTGCCTGACCTCACAAATGCGCTTCTGGAAGAATGATCAAACATTCCCATAGACATTCTCATCAAACAGATTCCCACGTAGGAGTTTCCACCATCAAACGAACATAAACAGTAATCAGCCTTGTGGCTTTCTTCGCAGCTCTACTGCTCAGGCCTCAAGCCTTGGTCCTCCAGACCATCTAACACATACAGTCCCAGTGCTCGTGCACAAAACACTGTACCTTAGTCATGCCTTTGACCGTCCTTTCCTAGACAGCACGGTGCAGACATGCACCTCTCTTCTCTCTTAGGGCTTGTTTGCGCTTGACTCTAAAAGCTAACTCTTAACAAACTCGCATGTAGCATTAATAACTCTCCCCAAACACCCTATGTGCGTATTTGTTGTGTTTTGATGCACGTTAAAACTGCACTACAAACGCCATTATTAAACTATGATGTTATTAATATGCTGCAGCCATACCGCAACAGTGCTGCACACGCCTTCCAGCATGTTTGCGGAGCTTTAGCATAGACATGAAAGGCTTCAAACTCCTTCAGTCTCAACATGAGGCTTCAATTTTGAAGTGAAGCAACACTAACGCTTCATGTTTTGATAATGTAAACAGTGCCATATACTGTCCAAATTATAATTTGCATAAACATTTGAGGAGTGTTAAAAACACCCCTCAAATGCCTGCTTTCAATGCCAGTGTGAACTAGGCCTTAGAATCACAGACCCTCTTGGAAGAGTGGGGCACTAACCTTTAATCCTGTCTCTACTATGAAGCCTGCCCACACCTGCATCATTATTGTGCTTGTTTTCTCCAAAACCTGGCCTAAAGTGCCTCATCACATAGTGGCATGACCTCATCCTGCCACACCCTGTACACGGGGCACTAATTTTCACTGTGTTGGACCTGTTGTGTGCTTATAACCTGATATGTTTTCAAGAGGGTGATAGGTGGAAACCTGCATTTAACACACATGAGGGGCATTACGAGAGCAAAATGTCACAAACAAATGATTTCCCACTCAGGGGAACTTCTCCACTTCAAATCCATGCACTGGAAAATGCCAAGCCACCTGGTTCATAAGCTCATGCAGCTTCAACTGCAGTACCTCTCCAGGATACTTGGCTCTCTAGCCATATGGATGGGGGTTCTCCTGATAACCCAACAGGAGCCGACCTGACTCCTGGAACTGAGACCTTTGTTTCTTGGCTTCCAACTGGGTCTTTTGACCCCTCAATGAGAACTTCTGTCTCCCCCACAGTCTCCAACTGAGATATTCTCAAACTTATATATAAAGACAGTTCGCAGCTGTGTACTCCAGATTGCAGGTGCCTAGCAAAACCCAGACACAGGATTGAATGTTCTGATCCAGAGCTGCAGAATCCAGAGAAAGCCCATTCCACAGCTTTCTCTGTCCAGAAACACTAGTCTGGAACATCGCATTCACTGAATCCTGTGTCACATTTTCCTATCTTTGTACAGTGACAGGGTCTTGTCTTGTCACATTATGTAAAACATTGAAAATAAGTGTTTATACTGTTTAAAATCCAGTAATACACTGTCTCATCCTGCTCTGCAAATGCTCAGTTGTTTTCCATTTTTAAGGCACTGCAGAATTTGTAGTCCAATCTGCTGGCAGCCTTAAAGCGAAATTAAACCCTCCTATACTTTACAGCCAAGGAAGCTGCTTCTGTTTGATCTGCAACTGCCATGGTTCTGCACATGTGATCAGTTATGACACCAGCCATTTGATGGTTTGACGGTTTGGTTGACGACAAGCAAATGTGACAGTTAACAATCCTGGTATTCTAGGAATGTAACTGCTTTTTGAAACCATTGAATTGAAGGGTTTAGTTCCACTTTACGATTTATTGCTATTCAGAGGCTCTGGGCTTCAGTAAAATGGCAGCCTCCAGCAAGAAGAATCAGGAGCAATGCTGGAGGCAATTTACAGCACACACTCATTTTGGTAGCAGAATTATTAATGTGAAATGTATGTTCCTTGCTAAAGAACATTATTTTTTATCAAGTTGTTATAGGTAAAGTTCCACTGTACATCTGAAGGTGTTGGTACTCATTAGGAAGGACCGATTGTTTAGGGAAGATCCCTAGATCATTTTACAGCCTAAGATGGCATAGCCTTTTCAGCTCCTGGGGAGCATTACCACTCTCTCTCCCTTGCTATGTGAGACCCTTGGGGCTGGGGGCCGCTTCCTGATTGCCCTCCCCGCTATTGGTACCATCATATCACCCATGTGCGTACTTACACATCTGTGAGAACGCAATAGGATGATTTATGTTCCTCCAATTTGAACATCAAGTCACAACTGCAACCCCTGAACCCCTAAAGAAACTAAAGTGAGAAGTGCATTGGGATTTGGCACATCCTCCCTTTCATAGACTAGCACAATTTGGCAAGCAATATTTAACATCTAACGTCCATGTGGGAGGGGAAGTGCATAATGGGGGTTGTGATACCTAGAAAATAATGTGATGCTGTTGTTTCAGAATTCTCTTTTATGGGAATGTTAATATCCCACTAATACTTTTAAACTATTTGTACAATAAAAGCTGTTTGTTTTTATTAAATATGGTTGTCATGTCTGTGGGAGAGGGTATCAGTACCTATAAAGTAACAATTCTTTAAGCTTTCTTTTGATTGGTTTTTCATATACAGGGATGTGGTGGCTGAATGTACCAACCAGACCTATTACTATTTTGTTAATAATGTTATGGTTATGAAAGAAAAACTAAAAAAGTTGTCCCATTGGATTGTCACCTGTCACCCATTAACTATGGTGATTGTGAGGTACATGTCTCTCTGGAGCTGCTTTGCTGGTTCTGTTTTGTGTTTCAGGTTGTTGCAAGCTGTCTGCTGTTGTTAGGAAAATTTACTTCAGTTGTTGGGCAGATCTTCAGTCAGCTGAGCGCTGGATTGTTGACAAATCTTCTGGTGGGAAAACAGCTGGTCAATATAGTATTTATCCTCTCTTGATGGAGTCAGCAGTTACCTCATGTCTGTCCTCTGGACTCGCTTCTGGGTTATCTTCAGCCTTCCTTTTGGATCTTCTTACCTGCTCCTCCAACCACCCTGGCCTTTGTTACTTTCCCTTGTTGCAGACCATCTTTATGGGGTAATGTCGCCAACTGTGTAGGTGAACAATGGTCAGTAAACTGTGATTTGATTGGTGTAAGATATTACTACTTGAGTCTTGGTGACTAAGTATGATGGTCTGCTAACGGTTAGCAGGGGTTCTGTTTGGTATTAAAACTGAAGGCAATTTTCTAAAACCTGTAAGCAGGCAGGATATTTATCTCAGAAGAGACAAGCAATGAAATCTACCTACCTGTCTGCTCACAGTGTTTTGCGGCATGTAAAAACTGAGCTGTGCATGCACAGCTCAGCTTATATTGCTGGCACTGTCCCTGGAAGACAGAATGACTAAGTCCTGTACATGTGCAAGAGTTACATCATCCTATGCTCACCGATTAAAATGCCTAAACAGCAGCACTCAGTGAGAAGATGCTGGCACCAACGGGGGACACTTGGTGGACTTCAAACATTAGGAGGTAAGCATAATGACTTTGGTTCTGATTTAAATTTTATTTCATGATTAAAATTGATTGAAACCCAATAAACAGTTTGTGGTCTAAAGTTTTCCAACAACCTGTATTATGTGTTTAATATATATTCAAGGTTTATGTTATGGTATGGTGGATGTTAACCACTTCCTGCCCGTAGAATGTCATATGATGTCCTCCTCGGGATGAAGTGGTTATACCAGGATAATACCTGCACCTACTCCATCACTTCTGCGGGTGGCGGAATGTTATTCTCCCCCACAGCCTTCCCGGGCAGTCCTGTCCGATCACAGAGCCTGGGACCGCTGCGACCAGCAGAACTGCAGCACTAGACAGATAGAGAGGAACAGACGTCGAAGGATTTTGTTACTTCCAGTTCTGGCTCTTTTTTTACCTGGGCATTAGCAGCCGATCAGCCGATCAGACCAATTGGTGTTTGATCAGCTGCATTGGAGACCAGAGGAGAGGTTTGGGGTCTAATAGAATCCAAATCTTTCCATAAAGAGGACCTGTCACAGCCCATGCTTTCACAGGGAATGTTGTTCATCCCTTGTAAAAGCAATAAAGTTGATTAACCACTTTTTGACTGTGTTATAGCCGAATAACAGCTACAGTGTGGTTGTCTAGTTCTGGGAGGGTGTCATATGGCATCCTTCGAGAACACGTCCCCTGCGTGCTCCCAGTGGCGCGCACCCAGTGCTCTCTGTGTCCTTTGGATTCAGCTGATCACATGACATGGTAAAGGGCCAATCACAGCGGCCCTTTACCACATTATCAGTTGTGTCCAATCACAGCTGATCACCATGTAAATACAGCTGCCAGTTATCAGCAGTACTTTCCTCATGCTGTCACAGCGAGAGGAAAGTACTGTCGATAGCCGGCAACTGTGAAAGGAGACAGCTACACTTATAATCAGGGCACTGATTATCAGTGCAGCCCTAAAAGTGCCTAACGGTGCTACCCATCAGTGCTGCCAATCTGTGCCCATTAGTGCTGCTAATCTGTGCCACCTATCAGTGCCGCCTTTTAGTGCCTTTCAGTGCTGTCTATTAGTGTCCATCATTGCCACCTATCAGTGCCCATCAGTGCTGGATATCATTGCATCAGTGCAGGCTCATCAGTGCCTCCTCATCAATGCCCACCAGTGC